CCACCCTTCACCCTGTTCTCCCGCGCACCTCCTCCACCTCTGCCCCCAGAGACTCCAGGTGCTTGACCGCCGCCGCCACCGCCGCCGCCACGCCCGGCGCTACGCCAGCGCCTGTCGTCTCCTGAATCACCCCAATCCGCTTGCCGGCCAGCGGGCGCTCGGGCAGCTGCTCGGCGGCTACCAAGCCGGCCGCAAAGTCGGGGACGGGCTCGGCGGCGCTGGACGAGTCGCGGGGGTCGTGGCCTGAGGGTGCATTTTGGGTTGAGGGCGCCGTGTAAGCGTGGTGTTAACGAAACGGGAGCACAACGGCGGGGCTGCAGATGATTGATGTCACGAAGTTTGCAGGTGCGGGTGGCAGTGATGACGCAAACAGATGGCGACCCAGACCAAGCCGTTGCGGGGAGTCCGGCGGCAGCAGCACTGGTCCGTTGAGGCAAGGCCCAGCGGCTCAGCGCCCGAGCTGCGGCAGGGGCATGTCTTGACCTCAGGCCCCTGGCTTGCTTGACGAACTGTGCTGCCCCTGCTGACCCTTGCCGTGCAGCCCGCAAGCAATCGTCCGGCCGGCCGCGTGAGGACCTACTGCTATCGCACCCCCGCCCCTCACAACCTCCCAGACCGCACACCCCGGGCGCGCGACCACAACGCGGCGGCTGCGCCCATGCTGAGCGGACGCAGCCAGCGCCGCAGCTTGCACACCCAGGGGCCGCACCTCACACACGTATCCCCCCCGCAAAAGCGCACCCGCTATCGAGTTCAGCACCAGCGCTGCGTCCTCCACGCTGTTTGCCAGCGGCCCCACCACGTCCAGGCTGGATGCATAAGCGATCAGCCCGAAGCGGCTGACGCGGCCGTAGCTGGGCTTGAGCCCGACGACACCGCAAAAGTGGGCCGGCTGCCGGATGCTGCCGCCCGTGTCGGAGCCGAGCGCCGCGGCGGCCTGGCGGGCGGCGACCGCGGAGGCAGAGCCGCCCGAGGATCCGCCGGGGACGCGGGACGGGTCCCACGGGTTGCGGGAGAGCTGCGGGGACAACAGCGGGCGCGCAGGGCGGGGTAGGTTTGGGCCTGGGGGCACGCGTTGGGGCCTCAATGCAGCAGCACGGGCAGGAAGCCGCGGCCATGGCCTGAGGTGGAGGAGCTTGGGCTGAGGCGGGCTGCCCTGCCGCGGCCCGCGGCTGGGTGCCGCATGCGCAGGGCCGCCCTCAACGAACCCTGCGGGCAGTCGCGGCCGCTCGCGCCGCGCCACCCCGCCCTCCCCCTCCTCCCGCCGACTGCAGAGCAGCGCTGCGGGTTAGCCCCCTGTCGCCCACCTTGTAGGCTGAATTTTCAGTGGAGCTGCCCATGCCAAACTCGTCCATGTTGGCCTTGCCCACTAGGACTGCCCCCGCCGCACGCAGCCGCGCGACGGCGGTCGCATCAAAGGGGGGCACATACGACTCGAGCACCTTGGAGGCCGCCGTGGTGCGCAGGCCGCGCGTGCAGAGGTTGTCCTGCGGACGGGGGTTTGAAGGCCGGTGGGGGTTGCGGGCGATGGCGGCGGCTGAGGGTGCGGAGGGAGAGGGCGTGTGTTCTAGGGGGTGCTTGTGGGGTGAGGCGGGAAGCCATCGAGAGCGGGCTGCCGTGAGAGCGAGAGCAGCGAGAACAGGGCGCAGGAGCGGGCGGCGGCAGCGTGGAAGACAGAGAGGCGTGAGTGGTGGCTGAGTCACACCTTCACGGCGATCGGGACGCCGGCCAAGGGGCCGAGGGCCTCGCCTGCGGCGCGGCGCTCGTCGATCGCCCTGGCCTGCGAGGGGCGCGGCAGGCGGGGGGGTGGTCAAGCGGCGCGGCCCAGGGGACACGACAGGCAGGCCTTGATCTCAGCAGCGTCACCAAACGGGGATTGGCATGGGCGTTGACTTCCCGGCAAGCCCGGCATGCGTCGAACCCCGTCAATGCCCGGTGCTTTTATTTGACCTCTGTCGCGGCAAAGTCGCCCCACCGCAGCCCATTGTGCACCTGCGCCAGCGCGTACTCGTCGTCGACGGTGATGAAGCTGCCGAGGGCGTCTTCCACACTGCGCAGCTGCTGCAGATATTCGCGCGTCACGTCGAACGCCGACCGCTGCCCGCCGGCGACCTGCTGCTGCAGCTCGCGCACGACCGAGCGCGCGGCGCGGGTCTGCATGGTACTGGCACGCTTGAAAGGCGTGAATTCTCTGTGGCGGACGGCGTGCCACTGCAAGGTGCCGTTCATTTTGAGGCTGCTGTGAACGCGAGATCACCGTAAATCGCTGTGCTGGTCAATGGGCGATATGTAACAATCCAATTGCACTTCACAGCTGTCATCCATATACCTGATTTCCATGGACGATTACGAAATGTGTCCATTGGAAGTGGAACACCGCACCTACGGCGTATTACGAGCCAATGCAGCATGCATCCGCACGTATACATCTAATCATGCGTAATGACTAGCAGCAGCTCGCCATGCCTCTGCGCCAGAGGCTGATCAATCAGACTGCTGGCGTGGGCATGTTGGTCAGCCCTGGTCGATGCAGAATATGCAACCGCATTTGCTACGATACCTACCAGCTGCCTGCGACGATATGGCGCTCTCTGCCCGTGAGGAACGATGGCGGCCAGTTTGGCAGAGTGCGGCCGCTGCTGCTGCAGGCTGTCAGCGCTGTTGAGGGCAGCGGCGGCCCCTACGCATGGGAGCTGTTGGCTGTCCCCGGCGACTTGAGCGCTCCCTCAGACCCTGGCAGCACCAGCACGAGCAGCGGCGGCAGCAGCGGCGGTGGCGGAGGCCGTCAACACACGGCTGCACCGAGCAGCAGGGCGAGCCGCCATAGCAGCAGCGGCGCCGCCC